ATGCAGATGATACTATCTTGCTATATGCAGATGATACTATCTTGCTATATGCAGATGATACTATCTTGCTTGCTGAAAGTGAAGAAGACTTGCGGTGCTTCCTGAGGAAGACCAAACACTGAAGTCTGCAGTATGGATTACACTTCAACATAAAGGAAAAAAACCTCACAACTGGACCAATAAACAACATCATGATGAATGGAGAAAAGATTGAAGTTTCAGGGGCTTCAGTTTACTTGAATCCACAATCAGCACCCATGACAGCAGCAGTCAAGAAATCAGACAATGTATTGCACTGGGCAAATCTGTTGCAAAAGACCTCTTTATTTTATTTTTTAAAAATTTGTATTGTGATTTGGGTGAAAGTTTACAGAGAAAATTCATTTTCCATTCCTTAGTCCATACACATTTCATTTCATGACATGGACTGCAATCACACAATGTAACAGCTCTCTTCCCACTTCCTCCCCTAGTTTAGTTACCTCTTCCCTGTGTCATTCCTTCCCATGCACTGTTGACGCCCACCCCCCAGCTATCTTCCATGCAAACACTACCCTTCTGTTCTCCCACCATTAATTGTTAGTTACAAGGAGTGTATCTGCCTGATGTAAATGTTCACTCCATATGCCTGTTGTTTGGCTGGAAGCCACAGGAATGAGTTCAATTGCAGACCTGAAGGGTAAGTAGGGGCCATAGTTTCAGAGCTCTCACTAGGCTCTATCAGACCAGTAAAGCTGTCTTTTTTTTCCCCCCCTATGATTTTGAGCGTTGTTCTACTTTGTTCTCCCACTCCATCCAGGATCTCCTGCACTGTGGTTGACAGTGGTAGCTGGGCACCATCTAGCTCTGGGCAAAAGACCTCTTTATAGTGTTAAGAGCAAAAATGTCACTTTAAAGACTAAGGTGTACCTGACTCAAGCCATGGTATTTTCATAGCCTCATATGCATGTGAAAGCTAAACAATGAATAAGGAAGACAGAAGAATTGATACATTTGAATTATGGTGTTGGTAAAGAATATTGAATATGCTATGGACTGCCAGTAAGAATGAACAAATAAATCCCTTGGAAGAAGTACAGCTGGGATGCTCTTTAAAAGTGAGAATGGCCAGACTTGGCCTCTCGTACCATGGTCGTGTTATCAGGAGGGACCCGTCTCTGGAGAAGGCCATCATGCTTAGTAAAATAAAAGGTCAGTGAAAAAAAGAAGACTCTCAACAAGACGGAGTGACACAGTTGCTGCAGCAATGGGCTCAAGCATAAGGATTGGGCAGGACTGGGCAGTGTTCCATTCTGTTGTGTATATGAGAGCTCTGGTAGCATAGTGCCTAAGGCATTTGACTGGTAACCAGAAGGCTGGCAGTTCAAACTCACCAGCCACTCCTCGGAAGGAAGGTTGGGCAATCAGGGTTGCTATATGTCGGAGTTGACTTGATGACACCTCACAACAACAGCAGTGTACAGGGGTTACAATTTCTCCACATCCTTGGCCAACGCTTGCTATTTCCCCCCCTTTTTTAGGAGGGGATAATGGTGCCAGCTTTGTTGTGTTGTTCTGTGCCGTTGAGTCGGACCCGACTCATAACGACCCCTCCTTGGGTTTCTGAGGTGGTATCACTATGGAAGTAGATTGCCAACCTAGTGGGTGTGAAGTGGTATCTCATTGTGGTTTTGACTTGCATTTCCCTAATGATGGCATTGAGCATCTTGTCACGTACTTACTGGCCATTTGTATACGGATTTGGAGAAATTTCTATT